CCCGTTTAAGATCTTTCTCTTAATAACTCACACTACTAGGCTCAGGCAACTAGTGTGTCACGGATTTAACTCATATCTGTGGTGTGATTGTGATTATTACAGTTCACGGGTTTATCTAAGCTGATACTTCCCTTGTACCGACGTTAAACCGGACCGCTCAGACCGTGGTTAAAAGTATCGTACCGGTCTCAGCTCTGATTGGTCAAACCGCTGGCTCAAAGGCTGGTATCATGAGTTCTGATCAATTGTTACAAGAACCGATTCATTGTTATGGTTTCTCAAATTGGTCAAGGTCGTAAACCGGAATTCTAAAAACCAAGAAACCCAGGGTTATTTGAGTATGGATAATTGAGTATTTAATCAGTTTTAAAAGGTAGGATTAGGAAACATTAGGGCAATAATAAAGTGGCGGGGGATTTTTCTCAACACAGAGCAAAGTCTTCCCTTCCATTTGAGCGGCGATCCGATAGCTTCGTTTCTCTCTCTCTCTCTTTTGAATTACTTTCTCGAGAAAATCCGGAAACTACAGAAGAAAAAAGAGAGACGGTAACGTAAGTTCGTTGTCAATACCTTCATTAGCACGATATCTATTTCCTTTTCCTCTTTTATCAGTTTGCATTTATTTCCTTCCATGTTGTTGTCTTCTTCTCGGTACGATTAATTTTGAGGAACCGCAACATAACTTTTCTTCAGCTACGTTTGTCTTGTCTCCTTCCAGTTTCAGGTAATCACTGATTCATCTCTTCTTTCTCTGTGAAATTCCCTAAAGAAATTGATGTTTTCTCGAACTTGGTTCTCTCATACTTTTCTTTATCTGCTTTATCCTTTAATGCTTTTTGATGTTTTAATTGAGTATTTGTTGTTGTTCTACTGAGAATAATCGGAACAAAAAAATTGCTGATTTCAATGGAGTGTAGAGTGAAACAGGAATATAGATAATGATGGATAAGAAGAAGTATCCAATTGGACCGGAGCATTACGCTCTTTATGAAGTGATCGGGCAAGGAGTCAGTGCTTCAGTCCATCGTGCTTTATGCATACCATTCGACGAAGTTGTTGCCATCAAGATCCTCGATTTCGAACGCGATAACTGCGATTTGGTAATTTTATCTGTTGCTTCTCCCTCTTAATTGAATGTAAAATTTTGATATTGCAAAATGGTTTCAGCTTGTGTTTTTCTTCTGTTTCAGAACAATATTTGTCGAGAAGCACAGACAATGATGCTTGTCGACCATCCCAACGTGTTGAAATCACACTGCTCCTTTGTTAGTGATCACAACTTGTGGGTGATTATGCCTTACATGTCCGGAGGTTCTTGTCTTCACATTTTAAAAGCTGCATATCCCGATGGATTGGAGGAAGCTGTGATAGCAACGATATTGCGTGAAGCGTTGAAGGGATTAGACTATCTTCATCAACATGGCCACATACATCGCGATGTAAAGGTCTGTAGTTGATCTTTTTTTTTTGGAACCTTTTACTTTTTAGACCCCAGATAAATAAAACTATTGGCACCATCTTGATCTTATTAGTAAGGTTTTTCAATTTTTAGGCCGGTAATATACTGATAGGAGCTAAAGGTGGGATCAAGTTGGGAGACTTTGGTGTATCTGCTTGTCTCTTTGATTCAGGTGATAGGCAACGGACAAGGAATACATTTGTTGGAACACCTTGCTGGTAATTCTTAGCTGCTAATCAATTCGTCTTTTTGATTTTTGTTGTGTGAAGTAATTTTAAGGCGAGTGAATTCAGGTTTAATGTCTATATATGAACTACTGTTTCTTGTTTACACAGGATGGCACCTGAGGTCATGGAGCAGTTACATGGTTATGACTTCAAGTAATTTTGACCTCATTCTATTTCGTTTTTCTTTTTTTTTCTATTTGTTTATGATTACTAGAAGTGCATAGTATGGACCTTCTAATGTGTAACATCTCTTTTAGGGCTGATATTTGGTCGTTGGGTATAACTGCATTGGAGCTTGCTCATGGCCATGCTCCTTTCTCGAAGTTCCCACCAATGAAGGTTGTTTATAGCCTTATACCATTTGAACTGTTCTCAAATCTCACACACATTTACACATTCATTCTAAAACATATATTTGGTTCCAGGTTCTGCTTATGACCTTGCAAAATGCACCACCAGGGCTAGATTACGAAAGGGACAAGAAATTCACTAGGGTATGCTCTTTATATCTAGAAACAAGACATTCTGATAAGGTTTGAGTTGCTTATTGAATTTCCAATTCTGCCTTGTTTCCTGGTATATTCAGTCTTTTAAGCAGATGATTGCTAGTTGTCTGGTTAAAGATCCTTCCAAACGCCCTGCTGCTAAGAAATTGTTGAAGCATTCCTTTTTCAAGCAAGCAAGGTCAAGCGACTACATTGCGCGGAAACTTCTTGATGGGTTGCCAGATCTTGTTGATCGTGTGCAAGAAATAAAGGTTCGATATACCGGACTATGCAGATGTCCATGGCTACGTTATCTACCATTAGCCCCATAATATAGCGATAATTGATTGCAGAAAAAAGAAGAAGATATGCTTGCTCAGAAGAAAATGCCAGATGGAGAGAAGGAAGAACTGTCACAGGTTAGTATTTTCGTTTCAAAACTTTTTTTTTCTAACTCATCTTTGGCTTTGTCTTCACTAACGTTGTTTAGAATGCATTGTATTTAGCTTTTTAACTTGTTTCGTAGTAACTTGCAGAATGAATATAAAAGAGGCATTAGTGGGTGGAATTTCAATCTCGAAGATATGAAAGCACAGGCTTCTTTGGTATAACTTGATCTCATCTAACCTGTGAATTGTCTGTGAACTTCAGTGTTAGTTGTTTTAAATATTTTGTTTGGTTTGAATTTCTCCAGATCCAGGACATTGATGATGGCTTATCCGAGAACAGTTTAATGGAGATCTCAAATTCGTCACAGGTGCTAGATTCACAGGATATGCAATCAGAGACTCAGGTATATCTGCTTGTCAATAAATTTCTTAGTGGTTTGAATGATTTTCTTGCTTTTAGCTTTGCTATTAGTTAACTTTAAAAGACAACATCTCTGATAAATGACTTCTGCAGGAGGATAATGATTGTCTAACTAATAAGCCTTTCCAGCGTCTAATTCCTCGAACTCTAAGCATAGTGAGGTTGGTCTCACAATTTCATTTGTGTTTTCTTTATCTACGTATCAGAAATTACTGAGATGAAATAAACTGAACAGAGAATACTATGGGTTTTTCAGGGATAAATCTGATGATGATTCAAGCGTCGCTAGCCCCAGTTATGACAACTATATCTATTCCTCCCTGTGTTATGATGATCAATCTGTAAATAACACAAGTGTAGGGAGCACAAATTCAATCAATGGAAAACCTTTGGACTCTACTTCAGTGCCCTCTAATCCACGAACTGGAATCTTAGCAGGCAACTCTGTTTCGTCGAATCAAAATATCGCCCTCGCTCAAGTAGAGAGGTTAGTCCTTTTTAACATGTGGCCTTTATGAAAAGGCTTTAGTTGGTTAAAAGTTTCCGGTTATCATTGCTTAACCTTTTGAGGTCAAGAAACACCTTGAAGTTTGATGTTCTTTTATTACTTTTACGTACGAATCCCCAGTGGCAAAACCCAAGATGAGCTCCAAAATGGCCAAACCTGCAATGGAGCAGAGGCTACAGTGGGAGGAGATGAATCATCTAAACCAGTAGGTAAGCATTTACAAAGGAAAAACAATTTTTTTTGTCAAGCAAATATCCCCATATATTTTCGAACAACGTTGTTTCTAGCTAAACTAATTTGGGATACATAGCAGTGACGGTAGATGAATACGATGACAAATCAAAGCCACAAATGGTGCAACAAAGAGGACGTTTTAAAGTAACTTCTGAAAATCTTGACATAGACAACAAGGTGACTTTGGGGAAAATAAAAAGATCGATGTTTTTTTCCCTTTTCTCTACTAGTGAGTGTTTCATCAAGGTTGCCTTTGTTGTATTCACACTCTCTTTTTCAGGTGGTTCCCTCTCCGATTATACAAAAGAGTCACAGCATGCAGGTCTGTAAGAATTAAGCAAGGCCAGCTTCAGACAAAAACAATGGCAATATTAATCACAATTTTTATTTGTTTCCTCATGTAGGTACTGTGTCAAAATCCTGCAGCTTCTTTGCCCGCGTCTGGTTTAGGATCTGATGGCGCATCGCTAAATCTAGCCAGTTCACACGTTTACCCACTGATGTATCCTGTTCTTCAGACTAATATTTTAGAAAGGGTATATGGCTTTATGACTTAGATTCTCATTCCCTTCTTTAAATAATTTTTTAAGCAATGGTAAAAAAAAGTTTCTCTGTTTCCACGCAGGATAACATTCTGCATATGATGAAAGTACTCACAAACCGAGAGTTATCAGGTTGGTTTATTGTTCATACAAAAGTTTCACTCTCTTCGTATATTTTCATGCCGTGTAATTTACATACCTTTCCTATCGGATATAGACAGCTGTGGTATTGAACAGGGAAGCTTACAAAAACCCACTACACTTCCTACTGAGAAATCCATGGTAAGCAAACCAAGTCTATTATAAAGTATTTCGGTTTTTTCTTTTAGCTGTTTAGATGAAAAGGATGAATACACATTCCTTCAAAAGCTGGAACTTGACCAGAATGGTTTCCTCTGTTGAAACACATTCGTAGCTTGAAGCAGCAAACGAAAGAGAGAAAGAGTTGCTCCACGAAATAACCGAGCTGCAATGGAGGTAACTTTTTGCAATTTTCATACCAGAAAAATAAACCATCTTTTTCTGCATCAGGTTTAGTTAATTGATTCACCTCTTTTTCTATATATTCCTTAGGCTAATTTGTACTCAAGAAGAACTTCAGAAGTACAAAACCGATAATCCACAAGTAAAAAAAAACTTGATTCCCAACACACATCTTTCTACAATCTTTAGAAGAATCAATTCATAAAAAAATAATAATTCCTTTCCTTATCCAAATTTCAGGTTTGATTTACGATCCTCGAGCTTACTTCGGAATAGAACCAGAGCTTTATGGTTCAACCAACTTGATCCCTTAAAAGAGTAATTAGTATGAACTTTTTAGTGATATAAATTGGCATAATATGTTGGTGAAGATATTTTTTGTAAATTAATTCATTAAAAGCATCACTGTCTATCTACTTCTTTTGGTTCTTTTACTCATTAGGATTGGTTTGGACTATGGAGATAGAATGTTACTGTACATGCTATGGACTATGGTTATTATGTTTGCAGCCCTATGGCATTGTATGTAATAATACACTGGAAACCATATTCTTAAGAAGAGTTTAGACTATGCATAACTTAAATTTTTTGATGCATGAAAAATATATCTTTCACTTTTGACCAAAAATGATATCACGTGCAGAACCAACCAAGCTCTCGGTTTGACTAACACTTTTTCCTTTTTGAATAGTCAGTCAGTCTTACGGAAGTGGGAGTTAGTAAAAAACTCTTGTCTGAGTGTCTGTGTTCAAGTTCTGGCGTCTCTTTCCATAACAAAGATTCCTAAAACAGTTTACGAGATTTTTGATTGCTTCTACGATTTTGTAAAGATTTGATTTTTC